TCTTCGTGAGTGGCATAAATTTAATTCTCCTTCATTTTTTCACTTGGATATGGATTTTAAACTCTAAAAAATCGAGAAAATCCCCCGGTTCCTTAGAAAATTGTAGGAAAATATCTGCACTGTTGAAAAATTATTCTTGAAATTTCAATTAAAAATCTCGAAATTTTTAACAATGAGTAATTTACATGGAATTTCCATTGATCTTGAAGTTACATGAAATTTCTGTAGAATTCTTCATTGACAACTCAGTTAATTTCTTGAATATTCAGTAATTCTCGATTTTCAGGTCCATATGGCGCTGAAAAACCTTGAAAATGTTGAAAATTCAGGCAACAAGTTCTCTGAATTTTAAATTCCTTGAAAATAGAATTGTATGTGATGTTCAATTTTCACGAAGAGTGTGAAAATTCCAGCTTTCATTGAGAAATCAATAATCGTTCAACATGAAGAACCCAATTTTCTTGAATTTTCAAGATGACTGAGAAATCTAGTGAACGTTTTCAATTGAAATTGAATTGAAACTCCGAACATTGAAAATTCATATGACATTGTGACTGAAATTTCAACAAATTTCTAACAGCGAAGTAAATACATTGAAAATCTGAAAAGAAAAGAAAACATTTGGCAAAACGATTTCCTTCCATACTTTAAAAACTATTTAAACCCAAAACTCCTCATTTTTTAAATCATATTCACAATGAATACGAAGAAATATAGGTTAACGATATTTTTTATTCAATTGAAAGGAACTATTCCTGCTCCTCCCATCTCTCTTTATCCACATGAAAAGATCTTCTAAAATTGCCTCGTTGCATGAATACACCCCAGTAACGTTATTGACCCGTCTGATGAGGGATTGTCCATGAAGACCCGGGACAAGACTTTTGCGATACGAAAAATAATGAAAAGAATGGTGGTGAGGAGGTGGCGGTGGCGCGTGCAAGGGGAGTTACGAGCGAGAGAGACAGAGCGGTTCACACTCGGCAACGCCGCGATGTATCGACCAGGGGCTAGGAACTCGTCAGTGAAAAAGAGAATTAAAAAAAAGGGGTCGCTCTTCCTTTGCGTTCTTTCCTGAATTACGTCATCAGTGGAGGAAAAATATGTTGATAGAATGGAAAATTTTTGGTGGAATGCAAAGTTGATGGGGATTTTGTCGTTGGACTAAATGTTTATTAAAAATTTTGATGAAAGGATTCAGGCATTTTTTTAATCCGTTTTTCCAGTTTTCTAATTTTCTTTTGTTTATAAATTATTTATGAGAAAGATTGTAGTGGAGTGTTGTTTTTGAAAGAAGAGACTTTCTCATTTTTTCCGAATTTTCAAGTTTTTTAAATGGTAAATATAGATCTTCATGAGTTGTAAAATAAATTCTTCGGGTCTTCATTAAAAACAGGCCACTTGGACGTCCTTAATGGAAACATTTTTCGACTGAATATTTATGAACAATGTTGAGGAATTCTTCACGCATTTTTCTTATCCTTCAATTTTTTCAGTTTTTCACTTCTTAATTATCTAATTGGACAGTCAAGTTGAGGGAGAGGAATTCATTGTTTATAAATTATTTATGAGTTAATTATTTATCATTTGAAACGTGCAGATTCACTATCCCCTAAAGTGGACAATTCTTCTTAGAAAGAAAAATATTTTAAAAAATGCAAGTTTAGAATCGAAGTTTCTAGAATCTAGTAAAAAAGGGCGTGGAATTTATCGGAAGAATTTCATAATCAAGAAAAAAATGGATGAAAATAAGAATAATACGGATCATTTCTAGAATTGTAGAAAATAATTCGATATGATGGTTGAGTGTATCATTCTTCGAAGAATAAATTCAACCATGATAAATTGATCAATTTCATGATTTTTTTTCTGTGTTATACAAAATTGAATGAAATTGCCGACGAACAAGTCGTCAAATAACCGGTAATTTTCCAGCAGCGTATGCGAAAAATGGAGCAGCAGTGATAGGAAAAATTTTCAGTTGCTGATAAAATTGCTTTTCCGGGTGTGCGAATGACACGTAGTCCACCCGCTGTGAATTTCTCGCAACTTCGATCCATCCCGATTGGGAGTGACGGCCTGGCCCGGGCTCGTGTGGAATTCCCACTCATACACCCCACCCATCTCCACCTCCCTCTAGCCCCGCAAAACGCAAATACCCGTCTCTCCACCCTTGCAGAATCCCCCTTTCGCTTTCAACGTCGTGACAACCCTCCGCGCTTTCACGATTTTCAATCTATTGTATACCCCGAGGATGCCCGGAGGTGGAAAAAGGGTTGGGCTTCAATGAAATATAAAAAGAATAAAATATCAAGGGGTTGAATCCAAAGGGCGACATATGCGGCATTAAATCCACCGGGTGACGGGTTCAATTCTAACCCGGGATACAATACGTGTGCAGCACTCCATCTTCGAGTGTCTAATGTCAATATTTACAGTCCACTCTTCACTCTGGAGGGAGAAAAATAAACTTTTGCAACATATTGCTGAATTGGAATGAAACAACAATATTCAGGGGGAGAGGGGTACCTCCGGACCCGGTTTTACGACTTGGCAAAAAGTCATATCTCACAGAAAATCATTTATTACATTAATGATAATTTTCATGATGAGCACAGAATTTTTTTTTCTGATTTTTCAAGATTTTAATTTTTTTTCTAACCTTGAAATGCTCATTTTCTCATAAGACTATGTTATTTTGACAATTTTAAATTCATTATTGTAAATGATACTAGACTGCCAATCACTCAAGACTCACAAACATGAACAAAAACAAAGTCGTTTCGTTCACACCCTAAAAAATATTTCTAGTATTGTATTTTTTACTTCATTGCTAGTGGAAAAATGATATATCTTGGTGATAATCGAAGAGACCGGATCATTAGTACCAGACTGAGAATCGGACACTCAAAATTGACACAATTTTCCAACACTGTTGGAATTTTTTTGAAATTTCATGGAAGACATTATAGTAAATCTCATGAGAGTGACATTGAATCGGATTTACGGAAAAAATGATTCTAAAATTTCAAGTTTTAAGTAGAATTCACGGAAATTCATGAGTTTTCCGTGGGGGTGAGATGGAAATTCCATAACTTAATTGAATTTTCAGTGGAACATGAATATTAAGAAACAAAATGACATGAATTTTGAATTTTTTCGTGAATTTCTCTGAATTTTCACAGAATAATTGAACTGAAAAATCAAATATTTTATCGACTAGGAAAGGGAATGGCGCGCACGAATTGCCTAGTGGTTTATCATACTATTTATTTTAAAAAATACTTCTAAAAAACTAAACAACACATGAATAAAAATTTCAAAAAAATAATTAGTCATCATTGATAATTTTTTCTATGAATTCTGAATTTCGCGAATGGGAGAAGGTGATCCATCAAATTTATGCTTTAATTACTGTTTTAAACAATGGTTTTTATAGTCTCTCGTTTGACTAGGGAGTTTCGATCAGTGGCAACCATGTACGGTCGAAAATATGTGGCTTCCCATGGCATGTCCAGCGCTTAACCAACGCGATGCTGTCACTTTTGTATAACCCACCATCTCGGGGCCCCCACAAACATAAATTTTTTATTAAAAAAGATTTACACTAACGATAATTTTCACGATGGGCACTGAATTTTAATTTTTTTCCTGATGGTTCAAGATTTTAATCTTCTCTCTAACCTTGAAATGCTCGATTTCTCGTTTTATTTTGACACTTCTCAATTAATTACTATAAATGACACCAGACTACGAATTAAGCATAAACTTGATCAAACAAAAATCGTTTCATGAACTTGTAAGGTGAGAAAAAAGACTATAGATGGATTTTTTTCTCAAAGAGATTTTCTCATTTTTCCAAAATTTCAAAATGTTGAATATATTATTTTTCAACCTTCAGAAGGTGAAAAATAAAATAATTGCGAAGCGTTGAGTAACCTGGGGTCAAATGGGAGTTGAATGGAAGCTCTGATAGTCAACTATAAATGTTGCAAGGGCTTTCAACGAAAAATGGGCCACTTGGATGTTCTTAATAAGAACATTTTTGGATTGAATATTTACTAACAATGTTGATGGAATATTCATGCATCCCTTTCACCCTTCAATTTTGTCAATTCTTCACCTCTTAATTATCAAATTGAATAGTTGAATTGAGGGAGAGGAATTAATTTTCAATAAATCATTTATGAGAAAAAAATTGTAGTAAAGTAAAAGATGCTTGGATATCCTCAAGTCAATTTCAACTATTGATCATCTTTCAATGAATATCTCAGAATCTAAGGCAGATAGAAAAATCTTCCTTAAAACCTTTTTTGCAGAGCAAACTTCCAGCTCTAAAAAAGTTCCTACAAAAATTTCGATATCTCCCCCCGATTCGAAGATATTCCGAAAAAACTCCGCTGACGTCTAAGTCAACTACTCGTTTTCCCGCTTCGCTACTGCAGTTCATCACTCACAACACAAAACATGAATAAAAATTATCATACCAACAGACCTCGTGATTTTTATAACAATTTGAAACTCATCATCCTCAGAATCGCTCATAACGTGTAACTATTATCCAAATAAATCATCATTCAATTCATCAGCACTCACATTCAGATCAAATCTTTCAATAAACGTTAACCCCCTCGAATTACACGTGATAGAGACTTGTTCCCCCCGCCGTACCTTCTGTCAATTTGAAACGTAAACGTACGAGGGTACAAAGTCGACTCTTTTGTCGTCGATGGTTTGCACTCACAAAAGTGCTTGTACGAGCCACGTCAAACTTGTATAGTTGGGTAGGGATAAGCGCACACTTGGGAAACGAAAAGAGAACACAAAATGGGGAAAATAAACATACATACGGTGTGTTGTCAAGTAATTTGATGGATTCGTTGATGGTGGGACAATACACATGTATTTGTGGGGAGGGAGTTTTATTTTTATTTTTAGTGGAGCAGGCGCCCAATGCTTTCCGTGTATGATAATCAAGTATATGGGTTTGAGCAGTGGAATAGTGCGCATTCCCTCTGAAAGTAATGCGCGTTATGTCCCAGTCGTGTCTGTGAAGCGGGCTTCAGTGTGTGGTTATCGTTGGAACTGAGAAAATAGATAGGAAGGACTACAATTGTATTTTTTTGAAAGGTATATTACAGTTTGTGGGTGAATTTGGAGCTTTGTGGAGCTTTGAAACATAAATTGTTCGCGTAATGTTCGGTGACATACGGTAAAATGGGACTTGAGTGGACGCTCTGATAAACTGTTAGAAATTTTTCAAAATTTTAGTCAGCGTCATATGAATTTTCCATGTTGTGAAGTTGAATTCAATTTCAAATGAAAGCGTTCACTAAATTTCTCATTCATGTTGAAAATTCAAGAAAATTGGGTTTTTCATGTTAAACGATCATTGATTTTTCAATGAAAGCTTGAACTCATCGCGAAAATTGAACATCACATCCAATACAATTTAGGTGTGTCCGCCTACAAAGCCAGAGGTCCTGGGTTCGAAACTCGGCACCGGCGAATTATTTGATTTAGTCAAATAATATAAGGACACCATCAAGTATACGTTGTAACAATGAGAGAAACCCAATGTGTTAAGCATGTTCGAATCATGTAAAAATACAGGATCCACAGTTCCACGTGTTTCGAGAACCTAACTGACTACAGTTGATTCTCACCTTCGAAATACTGTCGATACCATCGTAACCTATATAGGCTACAGAGGAAATAGTCGTGAGTTCGAACGACAATAAAGAGTCGCGAACCCATCGCTAATGACCTAGCTGTCGATGCGACGTTAAGCCCCAACAAACAAACAAACAAACAATTTTCAATAGATTGAGAATTCAGAAAAGTAATTGCCTAGGAATATCATATTTTTTGTATAAGTTAGGATTTTCGTGGAGACGGTAAATGTGACGTGATAATACTAGGAGGGAACATTTATGGAAAATTCCGTGTGGAATTTCCGGTACACTTTTTGGAAATTCTTACCTCATTACAATTCCACTAGAATTGCACGGAATTTCGTCCCTAAAATTTCAAAATTTTATAGAAAAGTCAACGAAAACAGTCATTTCCAGTTCAATCATTCAATGGAAGTTCAAAAAAAAAGTCCATCCGATCTAATCAAGCAAGCCTCTCCAATAAAAAAAATTTATGGGAAATTCTGTATGAATTCAGTCAGATAAATTTCCAAAATGTCTGGATGGTACTCCGGCGGCTCGAATCCGCCTATTGTCCTGGAGTTATTCATGAACAATTTTTCATGGGGATTTATAAACCACCCCCCGGGGCTCAAAACTAAAACGTTATACATCAAACTTTTTAATTAAATTTCGCCGGTTTTTCCGTCCGTGCGATTATATCCATTTGAAAATACGGGGAGTAAAAAAAATTCCCATCCTGATTTTTCCAGATGAAATTGTGTCCCTGGGATGCACGACGGCAATTACGGTGCGCCTGGGCAAGAGAGAGGAATAAGGGAACGGAATAGAATACACGGACACGGATCATAATTAGAGATTGCAGGAAGATAAGCAATCTACCCGCATGATACCTCACCGACGCAATTGAACCCGCCTCGATCTTTCATCCGCACTGATCATTTTATCGATGGTAACGAAATGAAATTGTGAACAGCGCTGCCAGCAGCGGATCAATCATTCATGTCAACTCTGGTAGAAAATTATTCCGGAAATTTGCAGTGAAAAATGTGGAAATTTTCAACCGCAAGCGGCCGGGGTGTTGATGCCCTTTCATCGTGTTTCTTTCCTGCCACATTCGATATTCCTTTTTTCAATTAATTGTTTATATAATAATTCATGAACTTTCAGTGGGAGCGAGATAGAAATTTAAGAACTTGATTGATTGAGTGGAATATGAATATTCAGAAACAAAATGACATGAATTTTCAATTTTTCCTTGAATTTTCCTGATTTTTCTGAATTTTCACAGAAGAATTAAACTGAAAAATCAAGTATTTTATTGATTTACAGATCATTTGAACAGAAAATCAACGGAATATTTGATTTTTCAATGACAAGATTTTCGGAAATTGCAGTGGAACGTGAACACGATAAAAATTTCCGGAATTTGGCACGAAAAATTCAAACGAAAATTTTTATCAGTGTAATGCTTACTGCCAAATTTCATGAAAATTCAGAGGAATCAGGAATTCAAGGAGATACTTCTCTGAATTTTCGCGATTTTTCATTAATTTTCCCGGAGTAATCAAACTGAAATTTACAGTTCTCATGGATTTTTCCATAAAATTATGAATTTTCAATGACAAAATTCCTTAAAATTTCAGTGGGAAATGTTTAACAATGCACTGTCAAAATTTTTTTGAAATTCCAATAAAGATATTATAGTAAATCTCATGATAGTGACATTGAATTAAATTCAGGAAAAAAATGGTTTTGAATTTTAATTTTTTTCCTGCATTTTCCCGATTTTTCTGATTTTTCACAGCTTAATTGAACTGAAAAATCAAGTATTTTATTGATTTACAGATCATTTGAACAAAAAATCAATGGAATATGTGATTTTTCAATGACAAGATTTCCTAAAATTTCAGTAGAACGTTTAGACGAAAATTTTTATCAGTGTAATGCTCACTGCCAAATTTCCTGAAAATTCAGAAGAATTTGGAACTCAAGGAGCGATTTCCCTGAAATTTCCTCAATTTTTCAGAAATAATTAACCTGAAATTTACAGTTCCCACGGTTTTTTCCATGAAATTACGAATTTTCAAAGACAAAACTCCTCGAAATTTCAGTGAAAAATGTTTAACAATGTATTTCAATATAAAACAACTCCGCGAAACTTGCATCATTCATAGCAACAGTGTACGATGGCCGAGGCTGAATGTACCACGTAACTCCCCCCATCAGTTATGAAAGACTTGGTACACTAGGGGTATGAAAATCGACATTGGCATTATCGATATTATTGGCTGGGTAACAGCGTTACTCCCACTTGCCAAACTCCGATCGAATTGACCCGATTACCGAGGCCCCTTGGATCGATTAATTTCTCCTCCAGTTTTACCATCGACATTATTTATGTCCCCCAGCTCGTCCGCCCAACGATTGATGGTTTATTTCAACAATGCATCTGGCTTATACTCATATCCATAATTTAGACAGGGCAAATACGATAGAATCTCCGTCGGCAATATTCGGGGTCGATAACTCCTAAACGACGTGCAATCGCACAAGTCGGACAGTTCAGAATTTCAGGCGGACGACATGTCGAAAGGGATGACAGAAACTGACGATGGGACGTTACATTAATGACGAGTTATAATTGGAATGGAATGAATATTATTTTGTAATGACGACAGTGGAGGATTGAAAGGTGCCATTGACAGGTTTCATTGAGGAGCCAAGGGAATTTCATTAAAAAAAATTGTAAGGTGTGTTTAAAAAATTATACACGGAGAGAAAATTTCAATAAAAATTACCAGAAAAAAACTGAGTCATGACGGGAGAAATTCCCATCCAAATCCAGTGAGTACCCGGTTATTTGTTTTATTCCACAATTTCAATGGATGCAATTGAAAATATTAGATTTTTCTTTTGGATTATAAAATTGTAAGATGATATTTCATGGATTTAGAATGAGGGAAATGTCTCAAGATATATTTTCTCCTGTGAATTAATTTCCTGAACATTAGTCATTGACAAAAATTGAACCATTACACGGAAAGAAAATTTCAATAAAAATCCGCGAGCGAAGTCAAATTCAATAAAAAGTGTGAGTCGGAACTGAAATTGTAAGAATCGCCACGTAAATTCGACGATTTTTTCTCTAAAAATTAACCACCCGTCTGATGACTCACTGCTGTGGGGACAACAAGGCGCTCCGTAATTATTTCCCAACGATTGAGAAATTTTACGGAACGGAACGTAGAAATAACTCACCAGCTCCATAAAAATTGTTGAACGTTCAAGAATTTTTGATTTTGGAGGCATAATAAGTCGGCAAGTTTCTGTAAGATTTTACTTATTCGGGAAAAATTACGTGACAATTTCGTACTTTGTTCGGTGATGAACCTGAAAATTCACTGAACGTTTCAGATTTCTTCTCTTCCATTCCTACAAAAATTTCCAGAAGACGATTCCCCATTGCGAATTACGTGGATTGTTCCGTAATTTTTACTGAATATTTCTCTCCGTGCAGACAAAAAATCAGTTGGAGTTAGGGGAGAGAAGGGCAATTAGCCATTTTTAATCATTAATAATTCAAGATCGGCAGAGTCAAATCCAATTACAGATTAAACCATTTTCAATCACCAAATTTATCGATTAAAATGAGTGAGGAAAATTTGAAAAAAAATTGCAGGCGGCTGTATCTTTGATACAGCTGTAATTGCACGTGGATAAGTCCATGGTCTTTCCTTCTTTCTCGAATTTCCTAGAAACGCCTTGCATTCGGTCAAATTTTCAGGAAACTCCTTGAATTCTCTCGAAAATAATCTCTAGAAACTCCCTGAATTTGTTCGAAATGTCTAGAATTTTCTAGACTTCTGATAGATAGCGCTGCACATAAGGACCGTTTCCCAAAGTGACCCCCCATATTGAAACCCTAGACGTATCCACATCAAAATCATGAATATTCACACAATTCGGGCAAAAATGCCTGAATTCACGGATAATTTTCAACGCTTTTCATTCTCGAAAGAAACCTTTCTCATCAGTCCCTCAAAATCCCGTGGGGCCTTCCATTTCCTCGAGTTCCGGAGGGAAACGAACTCTTGACTTTCTAATTTTTGGAATGATTTCAGATTAAACTGGTGGAATGATTAATGAGACCAAGAATCCGATGAGAAAGCCTGGATATTTACGATTCCATCGACAGCGAGAGAATATCCTGAGACGAATGACCTGGCGAAACAATGGGGAGGTACTGTTGGAGTATCTCGAGCGTAAACACACCGAGATATCTCTCGTCACGGGCCTCTCGTTTCAAAATACGACATAATGTACAGCAGAATGTAGCGTCCTGCTACGGAAATGAAATTAAGGGTCATTGACAAAATGAAAATGTTGGAATATTCAGCAACTGATTTACATGAGATCTTGATGGATTTTGCGGCTGAAAAATGAGGCAATTCCATGGGATAACTAATTTCAAACGCAATTTCGGGGAGAAAACTTATTTCGAGAGGAATTAAATTTTATCATTCCTCATTTCTAAAGATTTTCATGGAATAATTCAGTAGCGAAGTGGTAAAACGATACAAGTCAATTTTTACTATTGACCGGTTTTTAATGAATATCTCGGAATCTAAGGGAGATAGCAACATTTTTGTTATAACCGTTTTTGTAGAGCCGATTGAGAGCTATAACAAATGTGATCACGGAAATTTCGCTATCTCCTTTAGATTTCGAGATATTGATTGAAAACTGAACTGGGAGATAAGTCGACTTAAACCGTTTTACCATTTCGCTACTGAATTCAGATTAAATTCGCAGTTTTCATTGGTTTTTTCATTAAATTGTGAATCTTCTAAAACTGTCACGTAACAAAAATTTCCAAGTTTACAAGAAATTTCTGTCCAAAATTTTAAATAGTGTTTTTAACGATTTTTAGGAAAAATCTCGTTAAAATAATTTCACAAACTTTTTTTGTGGCTGTCAAAAATGAGGCAATTCCATGGAATGACTAATTTTAATCTACTTTTCTGAAGAAAATGCTGATAATATCTGATTGTTTGAGTTCTTTACGCCAAATTATTTAGATTTTACTGAAATTATAATGAAATTTCAAATTTTTCAGCAGCGAAAAGATGAGAATGCTCGAACTCACTGGAATTTTCCGTCGAAATATAAATATTTAGGGTCAAATTACGCGAACTTTTCAATGAATTGAAATTTAAGAATATATTCTCTTCAATTTTCTTAATTTCGATCAATTTCTATGAAATAACTGAACTAAAATTCACACTTTCCATTGATTTTTCCACAAAATTTTGAATTTTCACTGTTGAAATTCTTTGAAATTTCAGTGAAACATGTAATAAAAATTTCCAAAATTTTCAACCGTCTATTCATGAATAATCTGATGTCAAACTCCATTTAATTTCCATAAATTTTCCTTGTGGAGAAGTAAAATGGCAATTAATATCCAGTACAGAATAAATTCGACTAATCAAATTCCCATAGAAAGAAATTCCCCCTTCCCAACGAAAATTATTGACCATCATGCAGGTGGCTCGTACCATGAATCATGAATTCTCGAGGGTGAAATTGGGGTAATTCGGTGAGCACCAGATTACACCCGCATTGTCGTGGAGAGAACGAGTGCTATAAGGGAGGAAAATAAAGGGACGTGTGGCTTTAAAATTTCGCGCATTATTCTGCTTGGTAAAATGCGGTTGTTTAGCCCACTCTGGCGCAGGTGTACCAGAGGGAACGGTTGGCGAATTAATGCTTAGTATCGCATCTAGATCTCGTGGTACACATTTTTATCAAACAACTGCTGGTATGTGCACCTGTACTAATGTCCACTTACTTTTATGATGAAACAGGTAGTGAAGACCGCGGTATTCGACGGTATTTTATGGTTTCACAGGGAAAATAAAGTTTTTTTTCGGGAACGAAGTTATTAATTTTGAAAAGCTGCGCAGTTTCAGGATAAAAATGTATTTCTGAGGGAAAATAAATTTTATTATTCCTTATTGCTATAAATTTGTATGGAATAATTGAAATTAAATTCAGTTCTCATTCATTTTTTTCATTAAATTGTCAATTTTCAATCACAAAATTCTGTGAAATTTCGATAGAACTCTCACTTGATAAAAATTTCCAAGAAGTTTACAAGAAATTTCGGTCCAAAATTTTAAACAGTTTATTTTTTATAATTTCACAAAATTTCTGAGATCCAGAGAGTTTTCATGAATAATTTTTCATGAAAAATTCCTCTCTAAAATTTCAATTTTCCTTTTTGTTATTTATAAATTTCCCGAAACGATCTAAATTGTTAGATTATATGAATGATGAGCGAGAAATTAATTCTCTTTTGATTAAATGTTTTACTATGCATCAATGATATGAATAACGGAATAAAGAAATTATTACTTCAATAATTTCGAGAGGAATTACATTTTATTATTCCTTATTTCTATAAATTTTCATGAAATAATTGGAATTCAATTTAGTTTCCACTGATTTTTCCATTAAATTGTGAATTTTCAATCACAAAATTCTTTAAAATTTCAGTAGAACTGTCACTTAATAAAAATTTGGAAGAAGTTTACAAGAAATTTCTATCCAGAATTTAAAAAAATGGGAAAATCTCCTTAGAATAATTTCACGAAGTTTCACCTATAATTCTGAAACCGAAAGATTTTTCATAAAAAAAAAACTTTTCTCAACAATGTCAATTTTTCTTTTTCATTTACAAATTTCTCGAAACGATTCTCTAAAAATATTCTCTCCTGATTGCACACACAATTGCAGAATGATCAATTTATATAATTGACGATCACGAAAAGAAAATATGAATCCCATAACCGAAACTAGCCTGACCTAGAGAATATTGTCACAACACGAGAGACATATTAATTCAAACTCCCATTGATTAAAAAAAAAAATGATTGCCCCATCACCCTGAATATTCAATAAATGTCAAAATGAATCTCATCTCAGGTCATTCCATCGATTTCAAATCAACTCTCACCCTCCACCGGCTCTAAATTGCAATTGCTTATCGCATTAATGAGAAACTCAGTTATAATGGAATCCTGTGGTCTTCCAAAATGCGAATATCAATATAAGCTTTGGGTAAATGAGGATTTAACACAGCAATTGGAGCAGAAAGCGGCATTGTCAGGTCGCCTATTTCAGCAGTTGATACGTTTCAATTTTAGAATTCAGGTCAATCAAGGAGTCTGACGTGGATTCAACATCGAATGAATTTATTACTTTTGTCGATTCAAAATTATACAACACTTTATTTGACTCAACCCATTTTTTTCTGCCAACCGGGGGAAATTGTATTTTGTAGCTCAAATGTAATCTGAAGTAGTCGAATTGAAATAATGTAAATGTTTCACATTCTTACTCCCTATTCACAATGGACAAGTTTAATTAAAATCATATTTTTCATCTAACACTTACGCATTTCAAATGAGAAAAGTTTTTGAACCGAAAAATTTCACGCCCTCAAATTAAAAACTTTCGGAAGCGAGAAATTTCTGAAATATTTAAACATTGATTCAATATTAAGTGAGTTAAGGGGTCAGATAATATGCGTTGAATAACAAATGATTTAGAAACATGAGTAGATTAATTTCGGAATAGAAAGAGTCATCAATTCGAAAGTGACAATGTTTTATTTAAAAAGAAAAAGAAAAATTCTGAATTCCAGAATCAAAATCCCTTTAAAATAAAAGAAAATGATAAAAACTTGACTGGCATACTAAATTTAAGCATAATTACACTGAATTCAAGTGGAAATACCTTGGGATTAGCACTTTTGTCTCTGATTTTTGCGGAAGATTCCATCAAAATAAGTAAAAATTCTCCTCATTTCCAAGATTTCAAACTAAAAATTTTGCCTCTTCTCAAAGTCATCGACCAATAATAAAAAAACAGTTGAATAATTTTATACCTCACACTGACAGAAAAAATTAATTTTATCAAGAGAATTTTATTTGAACCAACTATCATTTGGATGTTAATTTTCAAATAAACACAATTTCATAGTGAATACCAGTTATCTCTTCTTGAGATACATTTGATTGGAAGAAATCCAACTTCTCAAGCATTGAAGTTCCTTTTATTGGTCGCAATAATGAGAGTATTTGATTTCTTTCTCGCCACAATTTTGCTAACTCCAGAAATTCGTTGATTTACTCAAAAATCAAAATTATTCTCATGACTAAATACGTTGTTATCTCAATCAACACGATCATACGTTGCTCCAAGTAAATTATAATTGAAGTGAGCATTTCGTATGTCGAATCAGGATGAATATTGTTACGCGGAAAAAGCTTTGAGATTGTAGTAAGATGTCGTTGAGTTTCAAGAAGTTTACATTTCTTGACTAAAAAAAATCGCATTAGTTTACAATAACAGAATCACAGATTACGGCAATTCAACACAAACTTGGATATCACAAATATCGTTCAATGTGATGTACGGAAAGCTCAATTTAAACATCGGCTTCATTCGAGAAAACAACATTCAATTCATTCCTCAATGTAATCACCTCCTAGGTACGAATTTTTGATCAGTTCATGAAAGTAGAAAATTTCTCGACTGGAGCTTATATTAGATCAAAAAAATAGAACTTTTCCCTTTTTGTGGTGAATACACGTGACTTGACGCCAGCGACTGTTTTATTCGATTCAAGTAAATGTATCTCAAGAAGAAATAATTGACATTCACCGTAAGATCGTATGTATTTGAAATTGGTTCAGGTGTATAATACTTGTTCCAAGAAAGAAACATCTCAATAAAAATAATTTTTTCTATCAATGCACATCACCACCTCCTTCCTTTCACAATTCCCCATCCTCTCATCGGGTGAGCACCCCCGAATGCCTCAACTCCTCTTCAGACCTCTCAATTAAACTCCGAAACATTCTCGCTGCAGAATAAGAAAAATCCACCCGTATTCAGCACCAACATTATCCGGGTTTCACGAAAACCATTCGATATTCCCGCGGATAACCCTCATTTCCATCAACTCCCACGGTGCACCAGAGTCCCTTAAGTACTTGTCTCTCCAGAACACACAGAACGCAAAATAGGGGCATTATTCTTCTCTCGTCACGGTTCTGTGAGCATGTCCACTTTTTTTTTTTCATCCTCAAATTCTCTTTTCCTCCTCCTTCATTTGAACGATGCGGTTGCGGGCGACAGAAAACAGGGCCCCCGGATGTGGTGAGCGAATATAGTCGAGCAAACGGGTTGAAAATACTCGCGAATATTCAAAGCGTGTCGTATTATTCGTTTCGCTTAGCATAATTTACATTATTAAGGAAAGGTTTTAAACCATACGCAGGAAGTGTGCTGGAGCGTTGAAGATTCGGTGGATAGATGACCCCGTATCAGAGAGGTGTTCTTACTTCTCCCTTGCTGAATTGCCAAATTGCCTTGAGAAGACAGTTTGAGAACAAAAGAGACAGCCCTTGTCTTTGTCTCAGAGGTTCAGCAGGAAGTATTGAATTGCGGAGATTATTTTTCGGAGTATCCTCTTAATTTTTAGAGCTGGAGTTTCTGT